TAACTAGCAAAATACTGGGCTAGAGGCATAGCTTAAGTAGTAGAGTGCTAGCCAAGCAAGAAAGTTGAGCAAGCATGGTCTTGAGTTGAAACTCTAATATCAGAAAAAAAAAAGGAAAAAAGAATTGAGTCAGACTTTCTTTTTCTAATCTCAGTGGTAAACCACTCACTTGGCATTCACAGCACTCTGGGCTGGGTCTCCAGTACAGAAAATGTAAATGCTTTGGTGGACACTGTGTAGTAGTTTATAACCCTAGCACTCATGGTGCTGAGACAAGAGGGTGGATCCATGACACTGTGAGACCTTGCTCCACAAGGGCCCAAACCAAACCAAACCAGCAACAAAAACCACACTCCAGATCGTACTATCCTAGGTCTGGAGTGCACTGCCATCCCTGGTAGTTTAAACACACACACACGCACACACACATTTATTTCCCCCCACCCCTGAGGAAAATGTTTCATTGGCTACCATTTAAAAAAATTAGTAGCTGGGCTGGGTGCTGGTGGCTCACGCCTGTAATCCTAGCTACTCAGGAGGCTGAGATCTGAGGATCGCAGTTCAAAGCCAGCCCGGGCAGGGCAGGAGAGACCATGAGACTCCAATCTCCAATAAACCAGCAGAAAACTGGAAGTGGTGCTGTAGCTCAAGTGGTAGAGTGCTTGCCTTGAGCTGAAGAGCTGAGGGACAGTGCCCAGGCCCAGAGTTCAAGCCCCACGACCGACCAAAAAAAAAAAAAAAAAATTAGTAGCTGGGCACTGGTAGCTCATACCTGTAATTCTAGATACTAAGAAGGCTGAAATCTGAGGATTGTGGTTCAAAGCCAGCCTGGGCAGGGAAGTCAGTGAGACTCATCGCCAATTAATCACAGAAAAAGCTGGAAGTGGCACTGTGGTAGAGCTGTAGCCTTGAGCAAAAGGAGCTCACTCAGAGACAGTGCCCATGCTCAGAGTTCAAGACCCAGGACTGGCAAAAAAAAAAAAATAAAAAGTTCGATATTATTTTTGATTCTAGAATTGGGCAACTTTGTGTGTGTGTGTGTCATGAGGCCTGAACTCTGAGCCTGGGCACTGTCCCTCAGCTCTTCATTTTATTCAATAAAATAGACTTTCATAGGGGCTGGGAAGGTGGCTCAGTGGTAGGCATGCATGAGGCCCTGGGTTCAATTCCTCAGCACCACATAAGCAGAAAAAGCAGAAGTGGCACTGTGGTTCAAGTGTAGAGCTCTAGCCTTGAGCTGAAGAGCTGAGGGGCAGTGCCCAGGCCCAGTCATGGGCCCAGGCCCATGACCCACAGACCCCCCCCAAAACAAACAAACAACTTTCATACTGAGCAGAAGAGGCTGGATTTCTCTTTTTTTTGTTGTTGTTGTGGGGCTTGAACTCTGGGCCTAGGTGCTGCCCCTCAGCTCTTCAGTGCAAGGCTAGCACTCTACCACTTTGTTTTTCTGTGGTTAATTACAGATCAGTCTCACAGACTTTACTGCCCGGGTTGGCTTTGAACTGTGTTGGTCAGATCTCACATCCAGAATTGCTAGGATTACAGGTGTGAGCCTGGAGTCCAGATTTGTTTGTTTTGTCAGTCAAGGGGCCTGAACTCTGAGCCTGGGCGCTGTCTCTCAGCTCTTCAGCTTGAGGCTTAAGCGCTCTACCACTTGAACCAAAGAGCCACTTCTGGCTTTTTCTGCTTATGTGGTGCTTAGGAATCGAACCCAGGGCCTCATGTAGGCAAGGCAAGTGCTCTACCACTGAGCCACCTTCCCAGCCCCAAGTCTGGATTTTTTTTTTGTCGGTTGTGGGGCTTGAACTCTGGGCATGGGCACTGTCCCTCAGCTCTTCAGCTCAAGGCCAGCGCACTACCACTTGAGCCAAAGCGCCACTTCCGTTTTCGAGTGGTTTATTGGAGATAAGAGTTTCATGGACTTTTCTGCCTGGGCTGGCTTTGAACCGTGATCCTCAGATTTCAGCCTCCTGAGTAGCTAGGATGACAGGCATGAGCCACTAGCGCGGGGCTCCAAGTCTATATTTCTTTCTTTGTTTTAAGGCTGGTGCTCTACTTCTTGAACAAGTAGTAATTGGATTACTTTTAGTGATTAATTGGAGTCTTCAGGACTGGTCTGCTCAGGCTCGCTTTACTCTGATTTTAACAGAGATTAAGATTGAGGTAATTTTGCAATTGCTTTTCTTGTAAGGCCGGATTGGAAGACTCACACAAAAGCACTGAAGTCGTTAAGGCAAGGTCACACTAAGTCTTATCATCTAAGGACTCGGTTCTGGGAACTCCCTGACCCAGCAGAGTGGTAGGCCTGTTAGGGCATCAAGTCCTAGTCAGTCCAGGCGGTGCTGGCCCAGGGGAGGTTGGGGCAGGCGCGGGGGCCGGGGCTGGCGGGGAGCCGGGGCTGGCGGGGGCCCGCGGGGCCGGGGCCGGCGGGGGCCAGGGGGCCGGGGCCGGCGGGGGGCCGAGGGGCCGGGGCAGGCGGGGGGGCCGAGGGGCCGGGGCAAGCGGGGGGGGGGGGGGCTGGCGGGGGGCCGGCGGGGGGCCGGGGCCGGCGGGGGGGCCGAGGGGCCGGGGCCGGCGGGGGCCAGGGCAGGCGGGGGGGGAGGGGGGAAGCCGGGGCCGGCGGGGGGCCGAGGGGCCGGGGCCGGGGGGGGGGGGGGGGGGAGCCGGGGCCGGCGGGGGCCGGGGCCGGCGGGAGGCCGAGGGGCCGGGGCCGGCGGGGGGGGGGGGCCGGGGCCAGCGGGAGGCCGAGGGGCCGGCGGGGGGGGGGGGGCCGGGGCCAGCGGGAGGCCGAGGGGCCGGCGGGGGGGGGGGGCCGGGGCCGGCGGGAGGCCGAGGGGCCGGGGCCGGCGGGAGGCCGAGGGGCCGGGGCCGGCGGGGGCCGGGGCCGGCGGGAGGCCGAGGGGCCGGGGCCGGTGGGGGGGGGGGGGGCCGGGGCCGGCGGGGGGGGGGGGCCGGGGCCGGCGGGGGGGGGGGGCCGGGGCCGGCGGGGGCCGGGGGCCCGCGGGGCCGGCCTGTCCGCGGGGCCGCGGGCCCGTCCCCCGCCGGCTGCGGCCGGCCTTCCCGGGCGGCCCGGGCGGGTGGCGCTGCGAGGCCCGGGCGGGCGGCCGCCGTGCGCAGCGCCGGGCCCCCGTCCCGCCGCCCCCGCCGCGGCCCCGCGTCTCCTAGGAACGGCGAGGTGACGGCGAAGGGCGGGACGTCCTTGGGCCGGCTCCCGCGCGGCGGCTCGGCTCCGGCCCCGCCGGCGGACTTTGGGCGTGCGCTTCCTCGCCGGGCCGGGCTCCACGCCAAGGCGCGGGCCGGCGGGCCGCGACCGGCTCCGGGGGCCGCTCGCAGCGGGGCGGCGGGCCGGACCGGCGGAGGACCCGTGACGGGCCCGGCGCCCCCGGAACCCCGGAGCCCGCGGCCGCGCCTCCCGGGCGCTTCCGGAGAGCGGGAGTCGGGCGCCGCCGAACCCGGCCCGCGGCGCGGGCAGCCACGGCGGCGCATGCGCGGCGTCACGTCCGGGCGGAAGTCGACGTCATCGCGCCGCCGCCGCGTGACGCACTTCCTGTTTGTTGTTGGAGAAAAGGAGAGAAAGGAAAGCGCGAGGAGCCGCCGCCACCGCCGCCGCCAGCGCCGCCGAGCCGGAGCCGCGAGGAGATCGGCCGCCTCCCCCCTTCTTCTCGCCGGCCGTCCGCGTCCTCGGTGAGGGGCCGCCGGGGGCCGGGGCGGGCCGGGCGCTGCGCGGGGCCGCCGGCGTCAGGCGCGACCCGACCCGGCGCCGGCCACGGCGTGCGCTGCCTGGGGTCGCGCCGGGCCGCGGCCCGGGCGCCCGGGGGAGGCCTGGCCGGCGGGGGGCGCCGGCCGGACCGGGACAGTGCCGGCCTCCTGCCGGACCCGCGGCTCTTATTTCCGCCCGTCCTCGGAGCCGCCGTCGGGGTCGGGCCCGGCCCCCTCCCCCCGGCCGGCGGCGGCGGTTGGGCCGGACCCGCGCGGGGGGCGGCGCGGCGCGGCCGGGGACGGCGAGGCCGGGGGGCGGCGAGCGAGTTCGGAGGCCGGGGGGCGGCGAGGCCGGGGACGGCGAGGCCGGGACTGTGAGGCCGGGGACGGCGAGGCCGGCGGGCGGCGAGGCCGGCGGGCGGCGAGGCCGGGACTGTGAGGCCGGGGACGGCGAGGCCGGGACTGTGAGGCCGGGGGGCGGCGAGGCCGGCGGGCGGCGAGGCCGGGACTGTGAGGCCGGGGGGCGGCGAGGCCGGGACTGTGAGGCCGGGGGGCGGCGAGGCCGGCGGGCGGCGAGGCCGGGACTGTGAGGCCGGGGGGCGGCGAGGCCGGGACTGTGAGGCCGGCGGGCGGCGAGGCCGGGGAGCGGCGAGCTAGTTCGGAGGCCGGGGGGCGGCGAGGCCGGGACTGTGAGGCCGGCGGGCGGCGAGGCCGGCGCGGCCGATCCCGCAGCCCGCGCAGTGAACACAGACGGCTCGGGCTCGGACCCTTGTGCAAGGGAGGCCCGAGCTGCTGACGGGACCGGGGCCGTGGCCCTGAACAGGTTCTAGAACCGCCCAGGGACTGCTGGAAGTTTTGGTCGGTGGCGTGGACTCCATGGCCGGGAGGCGGCGTGGGGTTTCCCTTGACGACTGTGTTGCCGGGTTTATGTAACCCGGTTTACGTAACGAAGTGTGCCCTCGGGCCGGCCGCGGGGAGCCGGGGCGGCTGGGCGCGGGGAGCGGGGAGGCTGAGCGCGGGGAGTCGGGGCGCCTGGGCGCGGGGCGGCTGGGCGCGGGGAGCCGGGGCTCCTGGGCGCGGGGAGCCGGGGCGCCTGGGCGCGGGGCTCCTGGGCGCGGGGAGCCGGGGCGCCTGGGCGCGGGGAGCCGGGGCTCCTGGGCGCGGGGAGCCGGGGCTCCTGGGCGCGGGGAGCCGGGGCGCCTGGGCGCGGGGCCGCTGGGCGCGGGGAGCCGGGGCGCGGGGCGTCCTCGGTGGTTTCCAGTTTCCGTTTGTGCCGTGGATTGGCGGTGCCAGGGCTGCATGGCCTAAGCTCGGATCCAGTGCTGGAGAAGCGCTCACGCCCGAGCTGCAGCCCAACCGTTTCAAGACCACCAGTTTTCTGGAAAAGTTAGAGCAAGAGGGGAGAAGAAAAGAAAGAAACTAGCCAAGTGGCTCGGTTGTCGCCTCAGCGTGGGCTCTACCGGCTCTTCAGGTTTACCTCGTTTTCTCTGATTGCGAATTTCCCAGCGTGTGAAAGTCATGAGAAATCTCTCTCCCCTTGGTGTTGCTCCTCTAGGCTGTGTTTGTTTCAGCACCAAGAAACTTTAGCTCCCTTTGGTTAGGGATGCCTTTTACATGTCTTTGCTCTCATAAAACGGTGAGTTCCATTTACACTTAGGCTATGCAGGCTTTTTGGACTATGTAGAAGGTGAAATTCGGGGAGCTGCCTTCGGTGTAGCCCTTGTAGATGTGGATGGTTTAATTGGAAGTGGGAGAATGATGCGCTTAAATTTTACTTTTTTGGAGGCATTGGAGTTTTAGCTCAGGGCCTCATCTGCCTCCAACTCTGCTTTTTGATGATTATTGAGACATCTCAATGGGCTTTATTTATTTTAATTTTTTGGGGGGGGGCATCCGGTCGTGGGGCCTGAACTTTGAGCCTGGGCGCTGTCCCTCCGCTCTTCAGCTCAAGGCTAGCGCTCTACCACTTGAGCCACAGCACCACTTCCAGCTTTTTTCTTTTTTGCTTATGTAGTGTTGAGGAATCGAACCCAGGGCCTCAGGCATACAAGGCAAGCGCTCTACACTGAGCCACCTTCCCAGCCCTGGACTTTTTTTTTTAATCCAGGCTATATTTGAACCAGAGATTCTCTGTATCTCAGCCTCCTGTAGGATTACAGGTGTGAGCCAGAAGTCACCAGCTTCGATGATAATAGTAATAATGTGTGCCAGTACTGAGCCTTGAACTGTCTCTGAGCTTTTTTGGCTCAGGCCTAGCACCCTGTCACTTGAACCACAGCTCTACTTTTGGCTTTTTGGTGGTTAATTGGGAATATTCCAGACCTTTCTGCCTGGGTTGGCTTTGAACTGTGATCTTCGGGTTCTACCATTCATATGACAGGCATGAACCCCAGCATCTGGCTGTTGTTTTTTTTTTTTTTTTTTTTTCCTTTTTGTTTTTTAAGTTTTCTTATAGAGGTGTTAGACAGAAGGGTTACATTTACATACATCAGGTAATAAGTACATTTCCTTTTTTTTTTTTTAATTTTTTTGGCCATCATGGGGCTTGGACTCCTGGCCTGGGCGCTGTCCCTCAGCTCAAGGTTATCATGCTACCACTTGAGCCACAGCGCCACTTCCGGTTTTCTGCTGGTTAATCTGAGGTAAGAGTCTCGACTTTCCTGCCCAGGCTGGTTTTGAAATGCGATCCTCAGATCTCAGCCTCCTGAGTAGCTAGGATGACAGGCCGGAGCCACCAGTGCCCAGCTTACATTTACTTTCCTACAGTGCCATCTCTTCTCTCCCCCATTCTCTCCCTCCCATCTCCACCCATGAGTTGCATAGTTCACTTTGATCCATGTCCAGTGTGCTCCACTGCTTTGCCCCCCCCAAGTTCTGTGTGTGTGTGTGTGTGTGTGTGTGTGTGTGTGTGTGTGTGTTTGTCTGTGTTTGTCTGCCTGCCTGCCTGCCTGCCTGCCTGCCTGCCTCTCTGCCTCTGCCTCTGTCTCTGTCTCTGTCTGTCTTGTGGGCTTGAACTCGGCCTGGGCTCTATCCCTCAGCTCTTCAGATTAAGGTTAGTGCTCTGCCACTTGAGTCACGGTGCCACATCTTATGTGGTACGGAGGAATTGAACCCAGGACCTCATGTATGCTAGGTAAGCATTCTACTGCTAGGCTACATTCCCAACCCTAAAATTTTTTTTAGTTAAAAACATAGCCGGGGGCTGGCTCAGTGGTAGATTGCTTGCCCTGCATGCTTGAGGCCCTGGGTTCGATTCCTCAGCACCACATAAACAGAAAAGAAGTGGCACTATGGCTCAAGTGGCTGCGTACTAGTGTTGAGCAAAAGAAGCTCAGGGCCCAGTACCTGAGTTCAAGCTCCAGGACTGGCAAAAAAAAAAAAAAAAAATCTGGGTGCCAGTGGTTCACCTCTGTAATCTGAGGATCACAGTTCAAGGTCAGCTATGGCAGGAAAGCCTCAAGAGACTCTTATCTACAACAGACTACACCAAAAAAGCCAGAAGTGGTGTTGTGGCTCAAGCGGTAGAGCAAAATGAAGCTCAGGGATAGACCTTAAGGTCTGAGTTCAAGTCCCAGTACTGGCAAAAACAAAACAAAACAAAAAAAAAAACTTAAGCCAGCTCTGGTGATGCATGCTTGTAATTCTAGATACTCAGAGACGGATTTCAGGATTGCAGTTCAAAGCCAGCCCAGGCAGGTCCCTGAGACTCTATCTCCAGTGAACCACCAGAAAACTGGAAGTAGAGCTGTGGCTAAGAATGTTAGAAAGCTCAGGGACAGGGCCCAGGCCGTGAGTTGAAGCACGGTAGCTGGGGGTGGGAATTCTGGTGATGTCCCTATGTAATCCCAGAGAGCGTCAAGCTCTGCTCTTCCTGCCTCAGTCTCCTGTGTGATAACTCGGTGTTTTGTGGGGTTGAGGGAGATGAGTGATGGGAATGAAGAATACTGAGAGCCTTCAAAGAAATTTGATGGGTTTGAGCATTGTCTTCAAAGCTTATTTTAGAACTTATTTTGTTCTGCACTGACCTGTTAGATACAGTAGTTGTCGAATAATTCTGATTGTGATTTTTGCAAACTCTTACTTTTTAAGAAGCCTCCTCTTCTCCCCCACTCTTCCTGAGAACAGGCCAGGTTGGTTTCCTTCTGTTCTTCCCTCAGCTTTGTGGGTGCTGGGGTTGTATTCTAGGTGGATGGAGACATTGGTTCATCCCCTTATATTAACTGGTAAAGCTGTTTTCCCTGTTTCTCTATCTTTAACAGTTTCAAGCAAATATCCCATTGTTCTCATAACCACTGTTCATGGCTTTCAATCTAGCAAATTAAAAACCCAGGTTTTTGGGGGGATGGGTGGGGCTTGAAATCAGGGAGGGGCACTGTCCCTGAGCTCTTTCACTCAAGGCTAGCACTCTACCATTTTGAGCCATAGCTCCACTTAAAAACTCATCTTCAGGCTGGGAAGGTGGCTCAGTGGTAGAGTGCTTGTCTTGCATGCATGAGGCCCTGGGTTCGATTCCCCAGCACCACATAAGCAGAAAAAGCCAGAAGTGGCGCTGTGGCTCAAGTGGTAGAGCAGAGCCTTGAGCTGAAGAGCTGAACAGTGCCCAGGCCCAGAGTTCAGGCCTCACCGACTGACAAAAAGATAAACAATCCAGTTTCGTGGGTGTGTGGTTTACTCTTGTAATCCTAGCTACTCACTGAGACCTGAGGATTGGGGTTTAAAACCAATCTTGGCAGGAAAGTCCGGGAGAATCTTATCTCCACTTAACCACCAAAAAAGGAGAAAGGGGGTTCAGGTAGAGGGGCTAGCCTTGAGCACAAAAGCTAAGGGACAGCACAAGGCCTAGAGTTCAGACCCCAGAACAAGACCATAAAACAGTTTTGTGATGGGTTGGTCCATTTGCATGCTTTGCAGTTTTAGTTACCTTTTTTTTTTTTTTCAGTCATGGGCCTGAACTCTGGGTCTGGGCACTATCCTTCAGCTCAAGGCTAGCGCTCCACCACTTCAGCCACAGCGCCACTTCTGGCTCTTTCTGCTTATGTGGTGCTGAGGAATTGAACCCAGGGCCTCATGCATGCAAGGCAAGCACTCTACCACTGAGCTACCTTCCCAGCCCCATGCTTTGCCATTTTAATAAAGAGGAAACCTCAACTGTTGCCAGTCACTGTCCACCTGAATGTCAGTGCATGAGTATGCACCAGCCCTGTTTGTTGAGAGGTCACTCATATTGGTTAATGTTTTTCTAAAGATGCACATTTTTTTAATACTGTCCTGGGGCTTGAACTTGGGGCTGGTTCTGTCCCTGAGCTTTTTTTCTTTTTCCTTAATTAAGGCTAGAGTTCTATCACTTGGCCACACTTTTGTTGTGTTTTGCTGAGTAATTGTAGATAAGGAAGCCTCTTGATTAGATTAGCTAGGTGAGTGGGCCTGGACTGTAGCATTCTTAGATGCCAGTTGAGTGATTACAATCTGGCTTGCTACTTGCTGTCATGTGATCAAACATTTTTTTTTCTTCCACTTTGCTTAGAAGTGATAATTCTGTGTTAATTCATCTAGGACACCATCTAGTGGTGGAATGCTGCTACCTTTGGGCTCATAAAGAAGTGAAATCTGAGTGGCAAGATTGAATGCTGTAGTTTCCTTTTGTGAATAGAAGAGAACCTTAGAAAAGAAAATGAGGGTAATGAATGAGCTGGGCTTCTTAGAGGCATGCTAGTATTTGAAGGGAGGCTAACGCAGGAGGACAGACAAAAACCCATGTCATTGAGAAGCAAAGTAGCGGTCATGAGAACAGCACAGCAGGAACAGTCCTGTGGGGATGGAGTGGTGGGGAGGCCTGGAGGCGCACTTACAGTGCTTGGATAAGCTAGCTAGTAAAATTGGACATTTGGGCTGGGAAGGTGGCTCAGTGGTAGAGTGCATGCATGAGGCCCTGGGTTCGATTCCTCAGCACCACATGAGCAGAAAAAGCCAGAAGTGGCACTATAGCTCAAGTGGTAGAGCGCTCGCCTGAGCTGAAGAGCTGAGGGACAGTGCCAAGGCCACGACCAAAAAAAAAAAAAAAGAATTGGATATTTTTATCAGTTATTAATACACATAAGGTATCCCTGACTGTGGGGTGGACATGCAGAATCACACATTCCCTTTGTGTTAACCTACCTGAAAAGTACTTTGACTCCAAAAACTTTTTTTTGTCGGTTGTGGGGACTTGAACTCTGGTCCTGGGCACTGTCCCTCAGCTCTTGAGCCCAAGGTGAGTGCCCTACCACTTGAGCCACCTTTGGAGTTAAGGAGAATACACTAACGTGGTAGAGAAATAGATATTTGGGTATTTGAATTACCAGCCTTCTCCCTGACGTAGCACCTGTGTATGCAACGTGTTCAATGCCCATGTTAAATACCTTAGTTCCAAAACAATGAAAGTGGATGAGCAGGCCCTACTTGTGAGGGTTGGAAATGGGAGACTGTAAATAA